GCATATCAGTGCCACCTATCCGTGACACCTCATTAGTGCTGCCTATCAGTGCCGCCTATCCATGCCACCTCATTAGTGCCGCCTATCAGTGCCGCCTATCAGTGCCCTTGAGTGCTGCCACCTTATCAGTGCCCATCAGTGCCACCTATCAGTGCCCATCAGTGCCACCTATCAGTGCCCATCAGTGCTGCCTCATCAACGCACATCAGTGAAGGAGAAAAATTACCTGTTTGAAAAATTTTATAATAGAAACAAAAAAAGTTTTGGTTTTTTTTTTCAAAATTTTTTGCACTTTTGTTGCTTATAGCACAAAAAGTAAAGTGCCCAGCAGCGATTACCACCAAAAGAAAGCTCTATTTGTGAGAAAAAAATGATAAAAATTTCATATGGGTACAATCTTGCATGACCGCGCAATTGTCAATCAAATTGCGACAGCGCTGAAAGCTGAAAATTGGCCTGGTAAATAAGGGGGTATAAGTGCCTGGTAGGCAATGGGTTAACTGGCAATTGCTTGGTCAAGCAATGGTGTACACAAATGAAATTTATAAAAAAACATTTCACAGAAATAGAGCTTTCTTTTTGTATTTTTTGATCACCACTTGTTTTTTTTATTTTATATTATATTAAAAAAAAATACTTTCTACTTTCTGTTATAAAACATATCCAATCAAAAAAAAAATCGATTTTCTTCATAAATTTAGGCCAAAATGTACTCTACGTGTCTTTAGTACAAAAAAAAATCCTAATAAGTGTATATTCATTGGTTTGTGAGAAAGATATAACATCTACAGACTTTGGTATAACTACTGAAATCGATGCAGCTTTGATGCTATACTGGTAATGGCGGTGACCAGCAACTTATTCTGGGACTGTGAGGCCTGGTTCACACCAATGCAAGGGTGGACTGACCATTCAGACACTCGGGCACTGCCCGAGGGCCCGGGGTCAGTAGGTGGCCCCATGAGATGCCCCTGGTACCTTACATAGGCTTTTTTGGGAGTGGTTTGAGTAAGGGCGAGGACACAGGGGCCCCATGATCCCCTATTGTCCGGGGGCCCCATGACTTGTCAGTCCGCCCCTGCACCAATGCGTTTTTTAGTGCTTTTTGCAGAAACACACTGCAGTCCATCCAACATGGTGTTCACATCTATGCATTTTTGAATTGCTGCATTTTTGGCAAAGGTCAGGGACTTTTTTTTATGTTTTTGCTACAATAGAGTTCAATGGAGAAGGTGGTGAAACACATGTACAGGTGTACATCGATTTACGAACGCCTAGATTAACGTAATTTTCGGTTTACGAATGAAAATCCATTGAAAAAAAACAATGCCTCGGAATGCACCTGTAGTGTGGTTTTGCATTTTTATTCTGCCCAGCAACAAAAAAAATTCCCTTTTTAACAAAAAAAAATCTGAAAAAAAATTCAAAGTGCAGTAAAAGTGCAGTACTAATTTTTTAAAAAATAAATTTGCGAAACAAACTGTATGTTGGTGCCGATTTTTAAATGCAATTGCCAGCTTTTTTTTTTCTTCACTATAGCTCACAGAATTAGCTGTCACTTTCCCCGGAGCTAAAGGATACTTTGTTTCTTTTATCTCGGGAAATCAAACTAAAAGAAAACATTGTTTCTTTCAACTCGGGGGAAACAAACTAAAGGGATACTTTGTTTCTTTTAGCTGGGGGGAAAGTGACAGCTGATTTCACTATAGTGAAGAAAAAAAAGCCAGTAATTAAATTTAAAAACTGGCACTGACCTATAGTGACAGTGACTTTTCTTTTTAGTTTTTTTCTGACCTCCAGAACAGATTGATTGTTTTTCAATGCATTCCTATGGGAAACCGTGTTTCGATTTACAAATTTTTTGCAATACAAAACGTCCCAGAGAACACATTAAATTTGTAAACCGAGGTACACCTATAGTGTGGTTTTGCATTTTTATTCTGCCCAGCAACAAAAATATTTCCCTTTTTAATGAAAAAAAATCTGAAAAAAAATTCAAAGTGCAGTAAAAACACAGTGAAAACGTGGCACAAATACACAAAAATACATACGTGGCAAAAAAAAAAATACAAAGCACTGAAAAACGGACACAAAGCACAGTGCATTGGTGTGAACCAGGTCTCATAGTGTGGAGGGCAATCTGGTACTAACTGACACTGGCTGAGAGGTACACTAGCTGACTAACTGACTCTGGCATCAATAGTGACCCTAATACAGTGATCAGTGCTAATACTGTACAACATCTGGGGGTCAGCAAAGGGTTAAGTGTGTGCCTAACAATGTGTAATATGTACTGCTTTTACTAATAGTTTTGGCTGTTTTTTCTCCCTGCTTTTCAGGAGGAAGAAACAGCCAGATCTCTGCTCTGTGTGAAGAGCCCTGTGTGTTTGTAAGCACAGGGCTCTATGCTGTGATTGGACACAGCCGATCAGCAGGTCTCAGCCATAAATCATTAGCCCAGACCTGCTGACAAAAACGCACCACAGCGCAGGTCAGCAGTGGGCACGTGCATACCCACTGGCCCAGAAGCAAACTTGTAACCTTTATTTATGTCGCTTAGACTGCAGCTGCCACCCAGTCACAAAATACATTGCAAGGGAAATTGGAACCCAACATGATTTGACTATGCAACCTTCTGATTTGGAGTGAGATGCACTACTGTTGCTCCACTAGGCCATTGAGGGACATATTCCTTCTCTGCATCAATACACTATGAGTGAGGACAGTCTAGTTTGAGCACTAATCAGTTTATTTTCTTGGTTTCCTTAGGATTTGGTTAAGCCTTCAAGTTGTGTAGAAGTCATATGACTATATGAAGGTGATTGTCCATGGAGTGTGAGATATTGGTGGTCCAATGATGAAGACGACTCAGGCTGGTCTAATAATAACTGTTGTAAGAGGAAGTTCTTGCTTACATATGACAGCTGCTGTGTTGATGTTCCCTAAAGAGCAGGCCAATATGTTGATGTTCCCTAAAGAGAAGGCCCATGTGTTGGTGTTCCCTAAAGAGCAGACCATGTGTTGATGTTCCTTAATGAGCATGGCCCATGTGTGTGTTGATGTTCCTTAATGAGTATGGCCCATGTGTTGATGTTCCTAAAGAGCAGGCTAATGTTCCCTAAAGAGGCTCATGGCCCATGTGTTGATGTTCCCTAAAGCAGCAGGCCCATGTGTTGATGCTCCCTAAAGAGCAGGCCCATGTGTTGATGTTCCCTAAAGAGCAGGCTCATGTGTTGATGTTCCCTAAGGAGCAGGCCCATGTGTTGATGTTCCCTAAAGAGCAGGCTCATGTGTTGATGTTTCCCTAAAGAGCAGGCCCATGTGTTGGTGTTCCCTAAAGAGCAGGTCTCCATGTGTTGATGTTCCCTAATGAGTATGGCCCATGTGTTGATGTTCCCTAAAGTGTTGATGCAGGCTCATGTGTTGATGTTTCCCTAAAGAGCAGGCTCCATGTGTTGATGTTCCCTAAAGAGCAGGCCATGTGTTGATGTTCCCTAAAGAGCAGGCTCATGTGTTGATGTTCCCTAAAGAGCAGGCTCATGTGTTGATGTTCCCTAAAGAGCAGGCCCATGTGTTGATGTTCCCTAAAGAGCAGGCCCATGTGTTGATGTTCCCTAAAGAGCAGGCCCTACACACACAGAATTTCTTCAGTCTTCCAGACTGAAGATTTGCACCCTCATTCAACCTGGAAGACAGAGGATACCTAGTGGTTGAACAGAAGTACAGTGGGAGACTGAGCTATTCTAGCCACAGTTTTTTTAACCAACTAAGGAACAATGTAAAAAAAAACAGTCTGAAGTTAGGCATTAAGTTTATTTTTTTTTATTTAATTAATGAACATAGAAAATTTTGTTATAAATATAGTTAACTACATTTTACAAGTCAGACAACTTTAAAGTGACTAAAGCCAATAGCCTAGGATGGGAAAAATATTGATCCCATGATTGCCAGATTCTGGAATTAATATATGAAGGTTTTTCAGTGCTGCTTCTTCAATTTTTTACAAATTGTGAATGAAGTGAATCATCATTTGAAGCGCCTGTCAACTGGCAACAAAGGCCATTCAAGGATTACAGCACCCAGTACCTAGCTGTGGCAGTTAGTTGGTAAAATAATATTTTGTTTTGAGATACTAATAACGCTGAAACAAGAAACTGCTCAGCAAAATGACTCTCAAAACCAAAAAAACACCAACATGTTTTTTCAAGAATCACAAATAAAGGTGACCAAGAGAAGCAGACCACCTCATCTTAATTTATTAGGGTATCGCAGTAAGGTCCACCCAACAGTTCTCTTAGATCCATGGTCTCCATGAACTCAACTTTTGATCAGAAGATAGTCCAGTTTGAGCACTAATCAGTTTATTTTCTTGGTTTCCTTGGGATTTGGTTATGCAGTCAAGTTGTGTAGAAGTCATATGACTATATGAAGGTGATTGTCCATGGAGTGTGAGATATTGTTGGACCAATGATGAAGACGACTCAGGGTGGTTTAATAATAACTGTTGAAAGAGGAAGTTCTTGCTTACATATGACAGCTGCTGTGTTGATGTTCCATAAAGAGCAGGTCCCATGTGTTGATATTCCCTAAAGAGCAGGCCCATGTGTTGTTGTGCCCTGAAAAAGCAGGCCCATGTGTTGATGTGCCCTAAAGAGCAGGCCCATGTGTTGATATTCCCTAAAGAGCAGGCCCGTGTGTTGATGTGCCCTAAAGAGCAGGCCCATGTGTTGAAAAGAGCAGACCCTACACACATAGAATTTCTTCAGTCTTCCAGACTGAAAATTCTTACCTTCATTCAACCTGAAAGACAGAGAATACCTAGTGGTGGAACAGAAGTACATTGGGAGACTGAGCTATTATAGCCACAGTTGTTTTTAACCAACTAAGGAGCAATGTAAAAAAAAAACAGTCAAGAATCGCAAAGAAAGGTGACCAAGAGAAGCAGACCACCTCATCTTAATTTATTAGACTATCGCAGTAAGGTCCACCTAACAGTTCTCTTAGACCCATGGTCTCCATGAACATGACTTTTGATCAGAAGATAGTCCAGTTTGAGTACTAATCAGTTTATTTTCTTGGTTTCCTTGGGATTTGGTTATGCAGTCAAGTTGTGTAGAAGTCATATGACTACATGAAGGTGATTGTCCATGGAGTGTGAGATATTGGTGGTCCATTGATGAAGACACATCAGGGTGGTTTAACAATAACTGTTGTAAGAGGAAGTTCTTGCTTACATATGACAGCTTCTGGCTGGAGTTTATTAAGTGCAAGGTGGTTTGAAGGCAATGCTGGAAGCCAAACTGGTATTCCTGACTGAAGTTATCTTGTGGCATCTCAGAGGGCTTCATTGTGGACTGGAGAAACTGAACTGTGTATTCCAAGATCTCTGCTTTCTCAATTTTTGGATTCTGTAATTTCTGCCATTAAAAAGGATACATGGATTGACAGTTACAGGGACACTGTTACCCAACATTGTGAAATGTATACAACTTGATAAACCAAAGGTGCGTATGTCAGCATTACATATCTAAAGTCTAAACATTTTTATTGATCTGGACAGAGTGAGGAAGAATTAGAACCCTTGCAAGGTCTTTATTGCTCTATTTATCCTTGCAGGGGAGATTCTGACTATAGCTATATTCCCATGACACACATTCTTGGAAGTATGGCTCATTAATAGAGGGTCCTGTAGTGACTGCCAGCTGGGACTGGAAATATCATAGACAAACATACATATTTGCCAACACACTACGGATCTCGATATGGTCCAAAAAGGTTTTTATCCCAAAAAGATCACATCACAAAGGAAAGTGCAATGTTTCTGAGCTACTAAGGGGTCCTGCGTGGTTCCGAAACGTTGCACTTTTCTTTGTGATGCAATCTTTTTGGAGTAAAAACCTTTTTGGACCATATCAAGATCCTTGGTGTGCTGGCGAATATGTAAATTTGCTAAGGATATTCATCCATTGTTTTTGTGATGGCATGGGATGGGACAGCCAACATTACAGTTACTAATAGAACAAGAACAAAGGTAAATTCTTTCAATGGGGTCACCTGTTTCAATGGCAGCTGTCTATGAGAAAATATCCCCTCAATTTGGAGAGATTTCATCTAAGTTCCTGTTGTGTCTTCAGGACTGGAAGTATTAGTGAAGGGTTCCTAATTCATTCAAAACGAAACTCTCTGAATTTTAGATAGCGTGGGACAAAATAGCTTTGATATTTGGTCACAAGACTGGCTGACCTTCAGGCACAGATCTGGCTGCCTTGAAATCCCAGGACCACAGATTATGTGGAGTAAAAGCAAACCTTTCATGCAGTCTGTCACCTTTCAGCAGGATGGTAAGGGGCTTATTCAGAATATATGTGAAATTTGACAGTGCTCCCATTACAAAAAAAAATAAAAAGTGTAACTGAATGTATAGAGGTGATAAAGAAAAATAATTATTATGTGCTTTACTGATGATTATACAACATCATTAAGCGCTTGTATGCTAATGTTAGGTTCTTTATATAATAACAGGTTCACTGGCTACTATGATCCTGCAGAAAGATGTTTGTGGAACAAATTGCTGATCTTTGGAATGTCTTGTTGGAGAACATAGAGAAAGTAAGGCTTCTTATTCCACATTAAGGTATATGAGAGTCTAGAGGTCAATCAAGTTGACAAAGTGTTCCACAATAACAGAAATTACTGTCTCTTGGAATAAATTATATGCTGCTTGTGAAAATTCTCAAGTGAATGATTACATATACAAAATGTTTGTCTGTTTGTTAGGGAGGGTCTTACAAGGTGGTATCAAAATGATTTGATACTATTTTTGTAACATGCCAGTAGATAGCAGCACAAGCCTGCATGCACAGTCACAGGGAGAACCAACCTTCATAAGTCGGTGTTTCAAAAGACACTGTCCTTTGTACATCGGGAGCTGTGCAAATGGTGCTATTCTAACCATGTGCATTACCGTATCCTCTATTTCATCATGGACAGCAAGTTAGAACAAAGAGCAAAAATGAAATTCTGCGTAAAGTGGGAAAAAAGAGACATTTGACATGATTCCGCAAGTTTATGGCAATGCTACAGTGAGCCTTCCAAGGTGTTTTGAATGGCACGTGTGCTTCAAGAGTGGAAGAACCATGAGAGATCAGGAGGACCTTCAACAAGCTCAACCCCTGAAAATGTCAAAATGGTGAAACCATTTAGCAACTTGTGCTTGATGATCATAGGAGAACAATCCACAACCTTGCAGCCATTGTCGGTATGTCACAGCAGTCCAGGCAATCCTTACATGTGATTCGAACATGTGCCGTGTTACTGATAGGTTTGTCCCCACGCTGCAATGATCTCACTTCTGCACACGCCCTACTCACCAGACTTGGCTTCGGACTTTGCCCTCTTCCCGAAGATGAAGATCCAGCTCAAAGGTTACCGTTTTGACAACATTGCAAAAATTCAGCGTGAATAGCCAAAGGTGCTTGGGACGCTTCGAAAAGAAGACTTCCAGGATACATTCCAGAAGTGACAGGAATGCTGCGAGAGCTGTTTTGCTGTGCAAGGGGGCTGTTCTGATGGTGATAGTATGTAACATAGATAAATAAAGTACTTTCTTATAAACAGAGCTATTCTCTAAACATTTTGATACCAACTCGTACACCAAGAGTACTGAGGTACTGGTGAGTAGGGTGTGTGTGAAAGTGAGATCATTGCAGCCTGGGGACAAACCTATCAGTAACACGGCACATGTTCAAATCACATGTGAGGATTGCCTGGACTGTTCCGTGTGACACACCAACAATGGTAGCAAGGTTGTGGATTGTTCTCCTATGATCATCATGCACAAATTGCCGAATGGTTTCACCATTTCGACATTTTCAGGGGTTGAGCTTGTTGAAGGTCCTCCTGATCTCTCATGGTCTTCCAGTGATGTTCTTCCACTCTTGAAGCACGAGTGCCATTCAAAAAACCTTGGAAGACTCATTGTAGCATTGCCATAAACTTGCTGAATCATGTCAAATGTCTATTTTTTCCCACAATACACCAAGAGTTATATTTACCACCTCGTACTTGGCAAGTGTACCAAGGATCTGACCTCCTGATCAAACAGGAGGTTTTTATACCCCAATCCTGTGCAGTTGCCATGTAAGACCCTCCCACACAAACATTTGTGCAGGATTGGGGTATCAAAACCTCCTGCTTGATCAAGAGGTCAGATCCTTGTTACACTTTCCATATAACCAATCTCTGCACACATAGATCTCTTTGCTTTAGAACAGGGGTCTCCAAACTTTCTAAACAAAGGGACAGTTTTTCGTCCTTCAGAATTTAGGGGGGCCAGTGGGAGTGGAAATTTGCCTGGCATCAGTGGCAGTAAACATCACATATGGCAGAAAACATCACATGGTATTAGGTGGAGGAATAGTGCATCGTCATTTGTATCCTTTGGGGAAATGGTGCCCCATAGGTGGTGTCAGTTGACAGAATAGTGTCTTGTATCAGTCGAAGGAATAGTGCCCCCAGGGCCGGATAAAGGCAAGCAAAGGGCCGCATCCGGCCCCTGGGCCCCAGTTTGGAGACCACTACTTTAGAATCTTAGCTCTTATTTTTACTTGTAAGTTTTTCATGCTACATAAACTTTCAAAATCTTCACTGTAAGGTTGTCTGTATTACCAGAGAAAGTAACACCTCATGATTATAAAACGATATCTGGTTTAAAATTGATCTCAGTTTTTTCTAAACTGTGGATATCAGAAATAGTTTTTTCATTAAAATCTCACCTCAATCTTCATCTGCTGAGATAGGAAAATTCTCAGCTTCTCTAGGCTGGTATTAATTCTTTCCCTCCTCTTCTTTTCCACCTGGGGCTTCAAAAGCTGCAATGGAATAGAATGGAATGGAAAAAACAAATGTAATGACCATGACTGACCAAGGGGCGATTGCACTTAAAAATGATGCTGTTTAGTGTACCTTTACTGGTATTGTAGCTTAATAAATGAAAGCCAAGTTGTCCAGTTGGTCTTACTGTCCATAGAACTAGATGCATTTATAATTGATCTAGTTTTTATAGACCTAATAAAGTAAAGGTCACCTCAGCCCACAACATAACATACCCTAAGAACATACAATCCTAATAACTAGGGTTGCACCAATACCGATACCGGTATCAGTATTGGTGTTGACACAGAGTACTTGCACAAGTACTCATGCAAATACTCCCGATACCTTTGCTGTGCTATTTGAGCCCATACAAAGGCTCCTCCGGCTTGGCTTGTGCTGATAGTAGGGGCTGAATGGCTTCTGATTGGTTAGTGCTTTCCATGAGATGGTGCTGACCAATCAGAAGTCATCTAGCCCGTACTGTCAGTGCTGCAAGGTAAGGAGAGAAAGCCAAAGGGGTTTCCCCAGACTGGTAGAGCAGCTTTTTGGTGTCTGATAGCTGGGGATAAGGAATCTGGTACAGTGGGGTGGATAAGGGTCCAGTGGATGGCTGGAACTACTGGAGGCTGGGGGAGAGAGCTGCTGGAGGCTTGTGGGAGAGAGCCATGGGAGAGGCAGGAGGTGCCAAAGCTGCAGTCGCTGATGTCCACAGTTGGATCGGGAGCCAGAGCTGGTGGAACCCATAATGCAGGGAGCTTTCCTGCACCGCTCCTGTGTGAACTCAAGCTCAAAGTCACTATGACAATCCCTGGATTCACACAGGAGCTGTGTGGAAAACCTCATGCAATTAGGCATGAGGGCAGCACAGTGGCTAAATGGTTAGCACTGGCACCACTAGGGTCATTGGTTCAAATCCCAACCATGGCACCACCTGTCTGGAGTTTGTGTGTTCTCCCTGTGCCTGCATGGGTTTCCTCTGGGTACTCCAGCTTTCTCCCACACACCAAAGACATGCTGGTTGGATCCTGTCTAAATTGGCTCTAGTATGTGTAGTATGCATTGTGTAAATTGACAGTTCTATATAAGTACCTGTAATAAATAAAAATTGGACAGGAATCACATGCAATTCTTTGCAGTGCAATTTGAGCCTATTCATTTTGTATGGGTTCAAATCGCACCACAAAGGTATTGGTATGTACTTGAGGTACAAAGGTATTGGTACGTACTTGAGGTACAAAGGTATTGGTACGTACTTGAGGTACAAAGGTCTTGGTACGTACTTGAGGTACAAAGGTCACGGTACGTACTTGAGGTACAAAGGTCTCGGTACGTACTTGAGGTACAAAGGTCACGGTACGTACTTGAGGTACAAAGGTCACGGTACGTACTTGAGGTACAAAGGTCACGGTACGTACTTGAGGTACAAAGGTCACGGTACGTACTTGAGGTACAAAGGTCACGGTACGTACTTGAGGTACAAAGGTCACGGTACGTACTTGAGGTACAAAGGTCACGGTACGTACTTGAGGTACAAAGGTCACGGTACGTACTTGAGGTACAAAGGTCACGGTACGTACTTGAGGTACAAAGGTCTCGGTACGTACTTGAGGTACAAAGGTCACGGTACGTACTTGAGGTACAAAGGTCACGGTACGTACTTGAGGTACAAAGGTCACGGTACGTACTTGAGGTACAAAGGTCACGGTACGTACTTGAGGTACAAAGGTCACGGTACGTACTTGAGGTACAAAGGTCACGGTACGTACTTGAGGTACAAAGGTCACGGTACGTACTTGAGGTACAAAGGTCTCGGTAGGTACTTGAGGTACAAAGGTCACGGTACGTACTTGAGGTACAAAGGTCACGGTACGTACTTGAGGTACAAAGGTCACGGTACGTACTCGAGGTACAAAGGTCACGGTACGTACTTGAGGTACAAAGGTCACGGTACGTACTCGAGGTACAAAGGTCACGGTACGTACTTGAGGTACAAAGGTCACGGTACGTACTCGAGGTACAAAGGTCACGGTACGTACTTGAGGTACAAAGGTCTCGGTAGGTACTTGAGGTACAAAGGTCTCGGTACGTACTTGAGGTACAAAGGTCTCGGTAGGTACTTGAGGTACAAAGGTCACGGTACGTACTTGAGGTACAAAGGTCTCGGTACGTACTTGAGGTACAAAGGTCTCGGTACGTACTTGAGGTACAAAGGTCTCGGCGAGTACTTGAGGTACAAAAGTCTCGGTACGTACTTGAGGTACAAAGGTCTCGGTACGCACTTGAGGTACAAAGGTCTAGGTGAGTACTTGACTGAAAGTATCAGTATTCATGCTCGCTGGGTAAAAAAAAAAAAACAGTATTGGTGCATCTGTACAAAGAACAATGGTCCAAAAGCAGCCTAAATCAATAACCTGGGAACAAATGACCAGGGAAGAAAATATACTAATCAATAGCCTAACAACATTCAACATTAATGGTCAAAAGCCATGTATTGAGTGATTTTTGACTGGCTCCTGATGAACTGGCTGAAATTTGATTAATAGGTGGCCTAATAACACCCTCTAGGTGGAAAATTCTTGGCTGAACAGTGGCTGCACCCAATCAGATAAAATCGCTGTTCAGGAATTCTAAGGATGGATAATTCTGTTCAGCCTGAACAAAAAAATATATCAGTGCAGGGCCAGTTTAAGAAATTTGACAAGAAGAGCAAACACCTTCAGTCCTTCTCCATTCACACAACAGCCACCGCCTTTATTCATTGAGCAAACGTCCCTAAAACAAATGAGCAAATGCTGGTTAATTCATACAGAATGGACGCACATCTAGTTTCACAGGACGAGTAGCAATGCAATTGCTTTTATAAATAACCCCATAGTGGTATTAACCCCTTGCCCCTTGTTTGATTGAGCAGTGCACTCCTGCATATCCAAGCACTGTTTTCTGACAGGCTTCTATATATATATCCCTACACACAGTCACAAAAATGATTTTTTTTTTTTTGCTGTAAAAATACCAAACCAGCCACTCAAAACATTTTCTTCTACAGTCACTAGGGGCAGCACCGCTCAGCAGTTTAGGGTATGCAAAAATGGAACATTTTGGTGCAACTGTTAAATTATTTTGTTCATTTTTTAAATAAAGAGTTAGCATAACTTCCGCATGTTGTAATGCACAATTCATATTTAATATTAGCTGAATATAGTTTTTATTAATAATTCATTCTACTTCTTGTATTCTGAGCACATTGGATGTGTTTCGGACATTGTTGGGTTAGTTTTCAGGTATCATATGAGATCACATGAGCCGACCATAAAAGCGGGACTAAACACAGGAATTGCAGGAAGAAGACAGAAATGAAAAAAAAAAACCATGGAAACAATTGTATCTCTTTTACAGCTGGGGCAGGGGTACCCATGTATAAAGAGGACAGAAATATGTCTTTCTATCTATATATTAACCTGTCCATCCATTTATCTATCTATCTATCTATCTATCTATTATCTATCTATCTATCTATCTATCTATCTATCTAACCATCTATCTATCTATCTATCTATCTGTCTATCAACCATCTATCTATCTATCTATCTATCATCTGTCCATCCATCCATTTATCTATCTATCTATCTATCTATCTATCTATCTATCTATCTATTCATCTGTTCAACCATCCTATCTATTATCTATCTATCTATCTATCTATCTATCTATCCATCACCATACATGTAAAAAGTTTGGTACATTACTTATTATGTTGGTAAACTAGACCTGGACCCCAAAAACAGTGCCCACCTTAGGCGGACTCTAACACCTGATTAATATTTCAGTCTTTGGCAGAGACATGAGAAATAAAGTAAACTATTACACAGTTTAACCCTCCTCCATCTAGCTGAAATATCAGTTTTGGGTGGACTAATCCTGTAATAAGACAAAAAAAATAGTTTTTTTCAGAAAAGATGTCAGTCCTAGTTATAGAATAATTTACCTTTCTTGGATTCTCCAGCACTGCCCCCACCATCTTATTCCTCCTCATGCCTGAGATGTGATTAGCTGTGTTGGAATCTCTCATGTGTCAATAATCTTCTAGGTCCTTAAAGACCCCCCTTATATAGTCCTGAGTGCCACCTATGGTGCTTATTCTCTTTACAATGAGATCAGCCAATAAGAAGAGAGCAGGCACCCACTTTGACCAGTCACAGAAGGCCCACTCCACTCATTTATCTCATTTACTCACTGCTGAGCCCCCAGCTGGCACTCTTTTCACATGCACAACTAACTTATTAATTAGATCTAACTGGTATCTTGTCCCGGGGTCTGCATAGCTTGGATAGTGAAGCCTAGACTTTGACATCCAATGGTGGTTGGACAGAATGACAATTGAACAACTGCTCCTGTATCCAGGTTCTTTGGACTGCTTGAGTGTGTCTGGTTGGGAGAAGGTGTTGTAGCCAGATATCCACCTTACCAACCGATCAGCGACTTCTGCCCCTCTCTGCCAATCCCTCCACTGGCTTCCACTAACCCAACGTATAAAATTCAAAATACTAACCACAACATACAAAACCTTGCCTATTTGGCCATCGCTGGTGAAGAGAGAAGGTCCTCTGTATGGGCAAATTTGAAATTTGCTCTAGGCTGTGGGCTTTTTTCTCCCTAGTTGGTGTCTCAACAGCCAATCAAATTGCACCCAGAATTGTCACATGGGAAGAAGACAAGCGTGTCCCATGCTCCTCATAAAAAAATCAGAGGAGACAATTAGGCAGATTTTATTCAGAGTTAGGAGAGTCAAAAGTTGAGGTCCTACTGTGGTGGCTGTAATAAAAGGGGCTTTTTCTTTAAAACTACAAAATTGGCAACAGGACTTCAAAGTATGCGCCATGACATGCACATGGGTGACCAAAACTTGGGGTCA